AAAAAATGACAAACCAGTTTGTCTTCTGGTTACTTTTGCTGTCTCTGAAATTCCCAAGTTTTTGCAGCATAATCACTTCAAGTTTCCCTTTGTATGCTTATATAAGTACTCATTATGAAATTTCCACTTAAAATAGAATAATTTTCTTTCGTATTTCAGATTAAGTGACTGAACTTGGAGAGAAATCATACTTATTGTGCATGGTTATTTTTTACAGCACATTTAAACCATCTAAAGGACGTCTACAGCAAGCAAAACTACAACTTGACCAAAGCCTTCCTGGCCATAGGTATTCTCAACTTTTCTATCCTTGCATTTGGATGGACACAAAGATTTCAGCCAAGAAAATGGGTAGCACTATGCAGTTGCATTATAGAATCCCCTCTTCCTCCTCTCTTTTAGTAACTTAACCTGTGGTATTTTCAGTTCTGGAGTTTCTGGGATCACTTACATTTTAAAATTGTATGATTTTCAATATGATACTCAATTTATGGAAGGTAATTTTGTCAGGTCTCCAGCTTGGCTATACCGTGGTCTTTGGCTCCTATGCATCTTTTCTCTTCATTCAAACTGGTAGGTGCTTGTTGACACTTTTCTACATCATTGTTACCGTGTCACTCGTCCTTGACAATAGGATTTTGTGTTATATGCATTTCAAAACAGTACATTATATGGTGTGTATGGGCAGCCTTTTCATTTCCTCTTTTTCCCATGAGATATGTTTCTATGTCGTTGATATGTGTCATACTTATTTCATGCAGGACATTTTCTTGCTCCTTTAGTTGCTCACGCATTTTGCAATTTTATGGGACTGCCTGTGCTAGTTTCACGGGGAAAAGGTATGCAGTAAAGTTTCCTAACCAAATGCCTACCTACTAACCAAAAAATGCGTACCTGAGAAACCTTAGAATGCACACGTAAACAGTATTATTTGTGATTTTGTGTCTCACATATGTTTGATTATACTTCAGAAACTTGCACAAGTGCTGTTAGTTATTAATGAGTGTAGATCCATACTACTTTTTTTTTCTTCATTTCACCATCATGAAACTATTTCACGAAACTTGGGTGTCTGCACATAAATAGTGAAGAGATAATTGTAGATTCCTTTATCTTTTATTTTCCAACATGGAAAGTCAATCATGTAAATGGAGACGGGAAGGAACCTAAATGATTGTAAGAAACCACAATAAAATGATCCATTCAAATGAAAACAAGAAATAGGAAAGTTATAGCTCTATCTTTGGGCATAGGTTTGCTCGCAGTAGAACAGGACATAATGTTAGGTGCCCCATGGAAATCACACTCAAGGTGTGAGAAGACGGCAAAAAGTGGTGCTTCCCCCAGGGAAATCATTGAAAACCGGCTCCCGGATATTGAATATCTGGGACTGAGACCGCAATCCCATTCATCATTTTTGATCTACATAAGCCAAAGCCCATAGCACGACCTATACTAGTGGGCAAGCAGGCTCTAGGGCCACAGATCATTAGGTTCAGTCCCTGGTGATCGAACCATTACTCTAAGGTGACTCTGTCCCTCTTTCTTACGATACAGTTCATTCCGTCCCTTGACACCATTATCAAGTTGGAGTCTTTACCATTCATTACACTCTTGTCTTAAAGTACAGACGTTCGTGCTCTGCATCCGCAAGTCTTTCTTAGTTAGTGGTATGCTATCCTCGTAGGAGTACCTTCTTACAGTTGGAGTACCTATTGCACTAGTTATACCTATAACAACAATATTGGTGTTCCTACAGGGACTCCCTCCCTTACTCTAAGTCTGGAGGAAAGACTGGTGAATCAGGCAACCCCTCTACCTTGAATTCATAACTTGCATAATGAGTTGCATCGACATCTTTGCCCGTGATCGAATGCCCCTTTCCCACGCCACCAATCGACGAATGCTGAGGAAGGAGTGAATCAACTTATGCAACCAACCACGGGGTCGCGAGAGAGCAGAGCGTACCGCCCTGCCACCCCTGTTTGGCTTTTGTTCTCCAAACTTGGGCATGCATGCAGCTCTAGAGTCTGTCCTGTTCACACAGGAAAAGACTGAAGCCAATTTTTTTCCTTTCCATAAGCACACCCTGGACCTACTCAGTACGAAAGTTTAGATGTATCACTAAGAGGCCCTCTAATCCTTTGTTGTCTCCACATGGCCGTGTGTTTTTTTAAGTCTGTTGTGTTAGTTCAATTCTTGATCAAAGCTCATCTTTGTCTTCATTATTGTTCCAGGAATAGTAAGTGTGGCATCTGTAGCTGGAATTGTGGGTTTCCTGTGGCTTCTTTTTCCAATGACTCGCCCAGAGTTGTATAACGATAGAACAGATAATTGCGTATGTTGGCAAGGATATTGTTCTGGGAACTAAGCCTGTGAAATCTTCAGAGTAAATAGGTTTGTTTAACCTAAAATCTTTTGTAGCATGATTCTGTATAACATGGATGTTGTTTCCTCAGCTATAAAAAAAGAAAAAGAAAAAAATGCTCTTCAGCTCCAAGAGAGATAAATACGTAACAAACACTAATTGTTTAGCTTATCATTTTCTAGACTTGACAAGAATTTCTCAACTAGTTCTATCTTTCTAGAATTCCAAATGATTCACTTTCTGAAGGTGGTATTGCACTTTAGGCCTTTTCTTTTTTGAATACTCTTACTTGGTTATTTTAATACCATATTCTTTACCACAAAAATAGTGAAATAGTGAGATAGTGAGTTAATCTACATTGAAATTTTACTCTTCTTTTGTATTATTTATTTTAATTTTCCTGGTTTATACTGGTGCTTAGTTCTTAATGCTTACAAGAATCAACTTCCAAATGGTTTATTAGGGAAATTATTAGTTGCACTTTCATTTTTTCCTCTTACCCTAAAAATATCTTAAAATTTTCTATGAAGCTTGCAATAAGATCAAGGAGGCTAGAATGAGGGGTTATAAAGAGGGGGTCCTTAGTAGCCGCCCGATTTATTGCTGAGTTATTATTGGACTGTTAGATTCAACCTCTTCATTGTAACCCCTCAACATAGTCCCCATTGTAGAATTCTTGCATTATAGAAGCTCCCACAATACGATTGCCCGACCCTTCATCTAGATCTCAAGTGGTCTCTCTGTCCAACAAAGCTGGGCCCTGGATTGACTTGGGTTCGACCGTACATAGTAACAAGTAGGGTAGAACTGGTCCATCATCAACTAAATGCATAGCCCACAATCTAATAATCCACGGGCTACACACCAATGGCTCTTTTGGAAGTTAACTAATAGTTAGTGTTCATGGGCCCACTTTCTTTTATTTATTTTAATAATTATAAATAAATAGAATTGTCAGGATTCTTTACCTATGTCATTGTTGCTGAAATTTGCCAACATTTGTGAGAGAAAAATCCTAAATCTATTACTGAAAATATTCTTTATCTTTTTCAGAAGAAACTGTTAAACACAAATTAAAACTAAGAACCACTTACTCGTAATCACAAAACGAAGGAAAATGCTAGGGAAAATCACTCACGCACCTTGCGTAACAGTCCTCAGAGGGAAGGAAGCACAAGCATATGCCCTTCATTGCTAGAACATCAACAACATCGCAATGGTGCCCTAAACTTGTTTGAGAAACCATGTAACCAGATTATTAATGATGCCCTAAATGAGCCAAGAAATGCGATATAGCATGATTGTTGGCTTAGGCAGGTCAAAATATCATTGGAGGTTAGATGGATGGATGGATTATGGAATGTTCCATTAACAATGTTGAACCAATCAAATCTATTTAAGCACTTTAGAGGTCTAATCGTTTGGGCCAACATCAAAGGGACCTTTATTTTTATATACCTTTCCCTTCCAAATTCAATCGTCTTAGATATTGTTATGATGACCAGAATCTTAAGGATACTACGTCAAACAAGGTCAATGCTGATGACCAAAAACAACCCCATTTCATGGTTTTGGGTTTTTTTTTTCCAATTTCAATAAATTTGTGGGTCTGAATTTTTATGCATTGGCTATCATAACCATGGTGCTCTTTTCAACCTTGAAATTGATTTTCCTGAGTTGGTGATGTGGTAAGGTGTCATAGCCATGGGTAGGGTTTGTTAGACGCATTCAAGTTTTGATTAGACATTCTTTCTTTATGTTCTTCTTCTTCTGCTAGATTTTGTTTTGTGTGATGGTCAACTTAAAAGGATATACAGATGCCAAGAGACGACGAGACTTATGTCATTTCCATGACTTTGATATTTGATATTGTGGGTTACCACTTTTATTTATTTATTTATTTATTTATTTATTTATTTATTCATTCATTTATTTTATTGTTTTTCAAACTTCATGAACCCATATTGACTTTCTATATGCTGAATCTTTTGATGACGTTCCCTCTGATTGGATCCTCCTATCACCTCTCTTCTCTTCTCAGATAGCCACAGAATCTGCATGCAAAGTTTTCAAATTAAAATATATACAATCCTTTCTGAAGAAAAAGAAAAACAATCTGTTCTATTCTATCTAACTAAGCAGTAGGTGGTAGGGTTTTAGCTGCACCGTTACTGGTGCTTCATGTTGCTTACTCTGTTTTTTCGCTGTATAAATTATAACCCTCATGTCAGAACCAGTTTGCCAATTAAGAAACTTGGCTCTGTACGCATGCATGATTACTTTCCCATGTGATTTACTGTTTGACCATCTATTTCTTCCATTTTCATGTGATTTTTTTTTAAAGGATATTAAAGTGAGAATTAAAGGAGATGTTATCAGGTTTTTTGACAGCAAATAGCAGTACAAAAATGAGAGCTGCACATTTGAAACTTCTTACTTTTTAGTTTGGTTTACACTGCACTTTGATTTTGTGATAAAAGTAGGGGAAGTTATCTATTTCTTTTTTCATTGAATTGGATTATGAAGCTCATGAGATAGATTGCATTATCTGATGTCTTGTATATCAATTGGTGTAGAGCACTAGTTCCAATTTGGATACTCAGTTGAAACAGTTGTGAGAGAGAGAGAGAGAGAGCTACAATAAATATTATATTTCTTTCTAGCAGATAGCTTGATACATCCTTGTAGACCAGAAATTTTTATATCCTAAACCCCCCAAAAAAGAGAAAATAGCATAAGATAAGGAAATAGAAGAAGCAGAGGTATCCTTGGTACAAAGATACACTAACCACTTTTCCTCTATGTATCTAAAACTGGAACAACTACCGCTTTTGACTAAAAAATATTACACAAAAAAAGCTAAGTCCTAGTGGGGTCATGATATTTCTATCCAGCTAGCTATATGTTTTAGTTGCTGGAACTAGAAGGGTTTTGGGTGGAGCTGGAGCTGAGATTGAGGTCAGGAATATTGTTGTTTGCTGCTGCATTGGCTTTTGAGTTTGTCTTGGAAAGCTTCTGCTTCAGCTCAGAGAGCAGGGCTTGATTCTCCTGGTTGAGAAGCTGTGCTTTCTTCCTCAGCCTCTCATTCTCTTTCATTATGTAGCAGTTCTGCAAGTACAGCTTTGAGTTCAGCCTGTCCATTGCTGTGAATTTTTTTGGGTTTTCTGTGATGATGCTTCTGAAACCAAAACAACAAAAAGTTATCAACACAAGAGTATCTCAGATAATTTTTTATTATTATTGTCAAACATATGTATATATTTAACACATGGAGACACTAACATTACACTATATTTTAAATCAATCTTAATATATAAAAAAACAGAAAATTGAACAAAACATATAGAATTAAGAAGAAGAAAAAAATACTTGTTTCTGAGTGCCTAGAGTTTTAACAAAATGAATGAAACAATAAACCTATTTGAATCCAAGAAGAACAGTTACCCAAAAACAGATTACAATGTGCTTTGTGCACTGCTTTTACTGGAAGTACTTATGACAGTTTTACAAAAGAAGGTGATGACAACAGGGGAAAGGCAGAGCAGGTGGTGGCCAAGAGCAACTTATTAACAAGTTTTGGACCACTATGGTAGATTTATAGATATATATTGTTTGCTAGGGAAGAAAAGAGAGATGGAATCATAAGTAGTCTAAAACTGCACTCAATGAAAAAATGGTCTCTTTCGGCTTCCCGTACATGAAAGAAAAGGATAAAAATCCTAAAATCAGATTCAAACTGCAGAAGACTTCAACTTCTCTGTTTCATTAAAAGAGCATTCACAAATACAACTCTTGCCCTTTTGCACAATCAAGAAGATGGTATGATCAAAAGTTTTAATTTTTTTTAAAGAATAAGAAAATGAAAATAGAAATATAAGTTCCACAGAGTGCCATGGAGTGTAGAGAGAGACAAACAAACCGTTTTAAAAAAATATAAAATAAAAAAAACAAATGTTGGAGAATCCAAGGTGCGAAACATTCTAAACGCAGACATTCTCTCCTCAAAATGAGGTGTGGAACAGACAAAGAAGAAGAAACCAATAAAACCCAAATGTGAACTCACTCATCTAGCAATTCTGATAAAAACCCAAGAAGGGCCTCTAGAACATGAAAAATAATCAAGAAAAAGAAGATGAGACAGAGAGACACAGAGAAATATATATTTATATGTTTATATATAGAGATAGATAGATAGATAAAATGAATAAAGAAGTCACCTTTAGGAGGTGGTTGGTTAGAGAGGGAGAGAGAGAGCGCGCTTTGGGCCGAGGAAGCAATCTGGTTTGTAACAAGAAGTAGCAGTGGAAAAAGGAAGAAGTTGGTAGTGAGGGACAAAGGGAACAAAAGAAGGCCTTAATTTATAGAGCCAAACTAGAAGAGAAAAAAGGAGCTTGTGAGAGAGAGAGAGAGAGAAGCTCATGAGGGAGGAGGGGACATGCCCCTCTCTCTCTGACACAACAATCATGCATGTGTAAGCATGGAAGGCGGCCGGTTAGGAGGCCTAAAAGATTTTAAGTGTTTTGGGTTTTCTCTTCTATGAATGATGATGAATATGGCGTCATGTGAATGATGATGGTTTTTGGGGTTTTGCAGCATAGAGAGAGAGAGAGGAGAGAGAGAGAGAGAGGGAGCTGGGGGCATTTTGGTCACATAAAAATGGCATTATGGATATGAAGAAGGGACAATTATGGGACTTACGGCTAGGGCTTGTAAAATGATGGTGGGCTAGGCCGTCCCAAGATTCGCAATGATGGTTTGGATTGGGTTCTAAACCATCATCACCACCCCCTCCTCTCCCTCCACATCCCTCTCCTTCCATCATCAATTACTCTTTTGTTTTATTTATGCTCCTATTATTTTTGTCCCTCCATTTTCTTTTCTTTTTTTTCCCATTTCATTTCATTATCTATTTTCTTTTTTGTTGGGAACTGTTGGCAACTTGGCAATAATAATTTTGGTTTTTTTTTCCCTTCCCTCCATTTTTGTCATTTTTTGGTCAAGAAATCTGACCTGCTATATTGTATCTTTTGGGTCATATCAAAGATTGTATCATCCATATAGGGACAAATTTGGTATAAACCAATTTATTCATTTATGCTAATTTTTTTAATAATGTTATGTTCCTAGAGATAGAGGAGTGTTTTTGTGAAAAACCCATTAACCCAAATATGAATCCAAGCTATAAAAAAACAGGTGGTTCCAACAAAAAGAAAAAGGGGGTAGGGGGATTAACTTATAGCAAAAGACTCATAGGCCTTTGTTCCTATGAGCTATTTCCAACCCTAACCAAAAACATAAATCAAAATGTCCATTTTGCCCCTGCTAGATAACTTGCACGTTTTGCACCATCAATGGTGTTTTGTTTTACGTTATTAGAATCATAATTATTAGGCCAAGGGTAGTAAAGGAGGTTTTTTTTTTTTGGTTGCCAAAATTAGGGGGTTGAGCTTGAAATAATGGTGAGGGAGGAGGAGGGGGGGTAGGGGCCAAGCCAAGCCCTCATGGGTTATGAGTGGTTTAACGTGAAACATCATGGTTGACAGGTGGTGTTTTGGAAGGGTCTATGGGTGTAAGGGTAGAATTGTCCATCTGGCTTTGTTGTCCCTCGTGGAGCTCGTTCATTTCACTCCTCATTTGGGGCTCTGCTTACATCAATCTAATTATGGGTTTCAATCCATGGGCTGGCAATGCTGGAAATGACCATTTTGACCTCAACGGTTTTCTTTTATCAAACCTTATTGTTACAACGTTCCTCATAAAGTCAAATGTTTCGTCTTTATAATTTCATATTTGGATTCCAATATCATTACAACTAATGTCAAATTGATCCAAATGAGATTTTAGTAATACATGAAATGGTTCTATATTTGGTCAAATTTGGGCCCAATGGACCGAGTTGATATCAAACTTCGGATTAATAGGCCAACGACACTTTTACTTTTGCTTACGACACAAATACTCATAAAAAACTTAAGTGTTCGAGTCAAGCCTTATCATGTCAAGTTCATGACATGTTGACAAAATAATCATACGATTATTAACAAGTCATATTGATGTTCATTTGCGAAACATGTTAGTGGCATGTTATGTTTGTGAAATATTAGGTTCTACCCTATTGACGAGATGAGTCTCTTGTAATTAGCCTCGCCTTAACTTTCTCTGTTCTTGGACACTTTCTACAAATTTGTTATTGATTCTTTTGCTCTTTTCTTGCGGTGGTTGTAATTGAACCACCCACTGAGCTTTGATGAAAGTTAGATGAAGAAGGTGCCGGTTTTGGGCGTGAATTTCTCTGAACTCCTATGGTTGAACATGGGTGGGTGGTTTCTCATCATTTTCCATTTGTTTTGGTTTTTTTTTTTATGATAATAACCTTTATGAAATCATCCGATTGCTTAACTGTGTTAGCTTTCTTTTTCTGTTTGAGAGGCATTTTTTGCTAAACGTTTTTCATGCATGCCTTTGGTACTTTTTTTTTGGACATGTGTTAGGTAATGTGTTGGACATAATTTCTTTTCTTGGGACATTTGTTCAAAATCTACAAGATACCATTCGGAATCTCGTGACATATTATCTTAACATTCCCGTACCATGCAATTTAACATATTATGTTATTAAATTTTTAGTTAAAACCTCAGATTTTGAATATGGCATTCTAGTCAACAAAATGACATGCCATGATGTCTATAGTTAATCCCTATTGATATCTGGGGTAGATTCGATTGATACTCCTTGATGTTTGATGCTATAAGTATGAAAGTTCCTTTTACTAATTTCTCCCCCCTTGAGATCTT